ACGATCTGTAGACTTGGAGATGAACCGGTTGAGTGCAGCAAGTCGGCCAGTTAGGGCCTGAACACCCTTGATCGAGGTTGGGGGAGTTAAGATCTTGAATGGCCTTTATTTTGGCCGGATTGGCTTCAATCCCGCGCTGGCTAACCATATAGCCCAGAAACTTTCCGGATTCAACTCCAAAAGTACATTTCTTAGGGTTCAACACCATGGAATAAGATCGGAGGATGGCGAACATGTCTCGAAGATGTGCTATATGATAAGAGGCGTGCACCGACTTGACGAGCATGTCGTCAACGTAAACTTCCATAGTGTGACCGATCAGTGTAGCGAACATTTTGTTGACAAGACGTTGATATGTAGCTCCAGCGTTCTTTAATCCGAACGGCATCATAGTATAACAATACAGACCTCGGGCCGAATAGAATGAAGTGTGTTCAGAGTCCTCGGGATCCATAGGAATCTGATTGTAGCCGGAGTAAGCGTCCATGAAACTCATCAACTCATGTCCCGACGTGGCATCAACCATATAATCTATATGGGGAAGTGGATAACTGTCTTTTGGGCATGCCTTGTTGAGGTCGGAAAAATCAATACATAATCTCCATAACCCGTTGCTCTTTTTGACAAGCACAGGATTTGAGACCCACGTCGGGTATTTGGCTTCCTTGATGAACTTATTGTCGATGACTTTTTTGACTTCTTCTTCCAATGCCTTCTGACGATCCGGCCCCAGTTTCCTTCTCTTTTGCACAACCGGCCGGACTGTTCGATCGAGGTTTAGTTTGTGGCTAGCGACACCGGGGTCGATGCCCTTCATATCCTCGTGCTTCCAGGCAAAAACATCAGAATTCTGTTTGAGAAACGAGATAAGTTCTGACCGAAGTGGTTCCTGAAGATGACTTCCGATGCGCAATGACTTGTGGAAAACTGGTTCATCGATATAGACCAATTCCACGTCTTCTCCAGGTTCGGCTCGATCAGCTCGACTTTTTTCTTTAAACAATGCTCTGGGGTCCAACTCGTCTTCTTCAAGAAGTGGCTCCTTTCCAGGTCGGCGACCTCGGTCTTCGGTTAAAGGATCCGAGGTGGAAGGATCGCCGACGTGGTTTTTTGGTTCTTCAGTCACCGCATTGTCTGAAGCGTGCTGCTGTGGGGAGGCTTCATTATTACCCATTGAAGTCGAATGAACTCCATTGGATGGGATAAACGTAACAAGTTGTTGAGCTTCTCTTTGATCTCCGAAGTGGGTTCCTTCTCCCCGGGTTGTCGGGAACTTTAATGCATAGTGAAAGATAGAAACTGCAGCTCGAAGTTTGTACAATGCCGTTCTGCCGATGATGGCGTTGTACTCATTATTAATATCCATAACCTTAAAAGTTTCCATGACGAGTTTGGTGACATTCTCCGAGGTGCCAAATCTGACAGGTAAAGTGATTTCTCCGATGGGCTTTGAAATACTGCCATTAAACCCTTGGATTTGATCGTTGCAAGGTCGGATTTCGGCGGGGTTGAGACCCATCTTGTCAAAAGCTTTCAACATCAAGATACTTGAATAGGCCCCAGTGTCCACCATGACACGATGAACAGGAATACCGCATATAGGGACGGTAATAACCAGTGCGTCGGAATAAGGAAGAGCGAAATGATTAGCATCCTCCATATTAAAGGTTATGGGGCAATTCCGATTGTTGAGAATATCTCTTAAATCGGTAGTGTAAACCTGTTTGCCGGAGTTGTGCGCTTGTCGGGCATATGCCTTGACCTGTCGACGGGACAATGTACTGTGGGGGTTGTTGGTATTGACCCCCGGTGGACAGTGATTTGCATCGGTTCAGGAGACCTATCTCGTTTACGTCCTCGGGAAGTTCCAGCAGAGTTAGAATCGGACGTCTCCGAGGTGAACATGAATACTTCCTTTTCTTCTTGTCGGATGCGTTTTGTCATAGCACCTCGGTCTTCCTCATCGTCTTCATCATCAAAGGATTCGATCTGACGTCCAGGACCTCACCTCTGGGGATCAGTGTTACGATAAAATTTTCTAAGTTGAGGATGGCCAATCAAACGCAACAATGCGGCCAACAAACTCAAACACTCGTCCGTGTTGTGCCCTGGCGACTTATGATAATCGCAATATCGGGACTTGTCCAGTTTTTCTTCAGGCATCCGAAGTGGCTTGGGATCTGGCAAAATGCCCTTCCCTTTGATTTCTTCATAAATAGTGGCTGCTCCCGCCAAATATACAGTTTGATAACCGGACTTCACGTCGGTTGCGTACTGTTTTCAGGCCGCTCGGACTTCAGGATCATTGGGGTCTCCCCGAGGAAGCCCTCTGAATTGAGTCTTATTTTGCTTGTCGAAAAATTTATTCTTCTTTTTTTCGTCAGTTCCCGCTTTAGAAGACTTCGGGTTAAAGTTAAAATCGNGAACCGACATGGCTTCTTCCGCTATAATGTGCTGCTGGGCTCGAGCGAGAAATTCTTGAAAAGTGTTCGGTTTATTTTGGCATAGCGTCCAGCGGAAAATCGAATTCGGTTTCAATCCAGCAATAGCCATAACAAGCAAGGTTTCAGGATGACAAGGTTCCATATTCTGAACTCGGTCATTGAAACGGGCAATATAATCCTTAACACTTTCATCATATTTTTGGGTGATATTCGCAAGAGACTCTTTTGGGATAAGGCATACTTGAGCCCCGATAAAATGAGATCGGAAAGCCGACCTCAGTTGTTGCCACTTCCAAATTGAATGAAGAGGAAGAGAATGGTACCATTTTTGGGCCCGAGGCCCCAGTGTAAGTGAAAACATACGACACCGAAGTGCGTCTGAGGCCCCATGCAGATCCATCCATGAAGTGTAATGACCGAGGTGCGAGTCCGGGTCAGATGTTCCATCATATAGCCCGATCTGGGGGACCTTAACTTTTCCAGGTACCGGTTCCGAAGTGAGCTCCGGAGTGAGGGGAGTATCGACTTCCAAATACACTTGTGCCGAGGTGGAGGCCCGCCGAGGTGGATCTTCAGGTGCCCATTGCCGACTTTCCAATTCGGCTATTCGTCGTCGTAATGTTTCGAGTTCGGATGATTCTTGACGAGCCCGATTCCGTTCAATATGCTTTCGGAGGTCGGTCTGCGCCGGATTGGAGGGATTTCGGCGCTGCGCATGAGGCGGTGACCGTCGTGAATGACCCGACTGGCTTTCGGCAGTTTCTTCTTGAGGAAGTATAGGAGGATTACGCCCGGCGTCGGTGCGACGTGTATTTTGTTCCGGAGGCGGTTGCGACATTCGATCACGAGGTTGAGATGTGGCATGAGATGTTGTCCTTCCGCCGTCTTGTCGCGCCGGCGGATTCTGTCGGTTCGGGGGTCGTGGGAATGATGTAGTGTCCCGGAGCAGTTGTCTATGTTCCCGGCATCGTTTAGGCCATTAGAGCGGCAAAACCACGCGCAAACTCCGGATTTTGAAACAGAACAGCATAATCCGGCACAGGTGGGGCCACGGCTTGTCGTCTGGCAGATTGCGCGGCGCTACGACTGTGGCCGTCTCGTGACGTGTGACCACGAGGATCCGAGTGAGACATGGCGGATATGGCTGGTGTGAATCGTCACTTGGAAAAGCGGAGATTAACCTCAAATCACTTATGAGGCCCTTCCTCTAGCGCCAAACTGTTGTTATGTGATTTCTAACAACGATATAACAAATGATTAAGATGATGATTACGAATGATTTGGACGTAAAGCATGTAGAAATAACTCAACAATGGCCCCGGTCCGAGGTGAACCGAGGTGAAGAGCCGTGATGGGCTTTTGCGTGTTGCATAATAATGTTTTTTCAGTTCGGAGAGAGATCCCCCTACAAATGTCATGGGTTCACTATTTATAGTAATTTTTGGTAGATACATTGGGATCTGTGTACTACTTTTTGGATAAAGTAGCTTTTTGTGGGCGGTTTGGAGCAGTGGGTCCCACATGAATAATGACGGATCTTGTGGAGCTTGATGGTTGTGCGTAGGCACCTTGTCACCTGCATAAGGAGGTGACGATCTCGGTTTAAGTAGACCTCGGTAGGTGCTGACCACTTCGGTCTTCGGTAATTCGGTCCGGTTCATTGCCTGGACCGGGGTGGTGTTAACATTACATCGGTTCAATGGTCATCTTCCTCTTAATATGATATTTGGAACCTCTTAATGGTGTTTTACCGAATCGGATGATAACAAATTGTTCGTCACATACATCACTAATCGCAAACATGTACATGTCAGAAGGAATCTGCTAATTATTGTCTAAAAAAAAAGAATATCAGGAATCTATAATTTTAGGCACAATTAAATAAATTATAAGAAAAATGTATAGGATGACATCTGCAACACCCACCCCCATCAATGAAAATGCACAAACTTACATTGACTATTGCACAATACATTACCATCACTGCACAAACTTACAATGTATATTGCACAGTATATTCCAGTACTAAACAAAACAAAAGAAAAAAAAATAAATAAATACCAAGAAAAATGTAACATCACAAAACATATAAATTTGAAGCACGGATATGTGTTATATGTACGTAGAATGACAATGCATATATCTCGTAATACATACTTGTAGGGTATGTTCATTGGTTGCCCCATTAGCATCGTCCATATATGTGAGCAGAGCTTTATCCGACTGAGGGCTAGTGACGTTCACGCACATGTCAGAATCCACGAAACCCCTTCCAAAGGCTCCTGAACTGATCTCATCGCGTTCTCTGTCTCTCAATGATTCATTGCTCCACGATTTAAATGTCGGGAAAACTCTTGCAACTGAACGCACGGACAAGACTACCTTGTCTACATAGAAAAGCTATCGGACAGAGCATAGATAATAATATAAACACTATTAAGCAATCTTCGTCACTAAATCTCTCAGAAAAATATACCAAAAAGGATTCACAGTAACCCAAAAAAGAAATGGACACAAACAACAGGGCAAAAAGAAATAGTAAGGGAACAAAATAGATTAACTGACCGTCAAGAACAACAACGGCCCTGTGTACTTCCGTTTACCGTTCGCTTCCCACGATCTCTTGCTGTCCACCAAGCACCGAATCATGTACGAGCACCAATTCATATTGGCTACAGTTGATAAATCTTCGAGCATGTGCACCAAACGGAAGTTTGCCATTCCATTTGGACAACTCTCAAACAGACAAGAGACCATGAGGACGATAAAATGGCGCTTGAACCAATCATCAGCATCAGCGCTCTCCTTCATCTTGTCCAACACCTTTGAAGCCGTGATATTTGTTGAACACTTAACATTGAATAACTCAATCCAATCATCCAACAAACGTGATGTAACCCTCTTCTTCTTATTTTTTATTTCAATCTTCCCACGAGGTAGCCCGAACGCAACATACACGTCATCTTCCTTGATGTGTACCTTCTCACCATCGTATAATTGCAGCTTCCGGTCCATGTAGTTGAAGTTTTCTACTAGCCAGAACCCCATTTTTGACGGGGTTGATGTTATGCCCAACTCCAGTAAACACCCCAGTCCCATTTCCCGTATCGCAAGCTTTTTCACGTCAGACATGTCAGAAATTGCCTTAACGAAAATCGACGCTGACGACCTTGGGTTCACGCTCAGGAACTTCCCATCATCCATGTCAGAACCAACGCCAACATCGTCAGCAACATAGTTGTCTATATATTTGTCGAAAGTGTCGTCGTCTGATATTTCATATTTACCCTTGTCTGAAAATTAAAATCAAATCATAAGCTAGTCAAATAACAGAATAAATAAATAAATAAAATTATATGCATATTAAAGTGTAATTAACCGAATATACCATGCTTGGCCTTCGTAATTTTCATAAGACCGTGTCTAGGTACATCGTCGATGAAATCATCGCTATCAGGTTGACTCAGTTTGGGTGGACCGACTTTCGTACGCTTCACACGGGCAATACCACGTCCAGGATCATCTGAATGTCTCTTACACGGTGCATCTACTTAATATACAAATGGTTAGCAGTCACGTCTTAAAAAACACTTGAACACTTTAAAACTACGCCAACTTTAAAACATTCAGAACAAAAGAATATAAAACCGAGGACATGGATAATCTAATATTCAGTCAATATGTAGTCCATAATATAATATTAATTTTCATATTCGGTGTCTACATTGCAAATCACGTATACATAAACAGAACCGCACACCAACATGACATTACCTTGGTGTGCATTTTCACTGTTCGGGGATGCACCGCTTTGCTGTAATAATGCCAAGCTCGTACTACGTCGGGTCGCTATTACATTACCAATCATTCAGTACAAAAATGCCAAAAAAAGTGAATTGGTATGTCATGATGTCTTAAATTGACGGCATATACCTTTGAAGACGCCAGGAGGTCGATCTGTTATTCCTACCTCACCATTGTTTTTATCTGCACCAA